CCATGATTCTTTTTGGGTTTGCTTCATATTTAAACCCCTCTAAGTCATTTTTAGGGTTCCTTATCAGCCTCCATCACCCTCAAGTTTCAGAAACCCTAACCGTAATTCTTCCTTGAGAGTTGTGAGCCTATTTTGGTGACTTTGGTTGCTTGTGAATCTTTGGACCTTTAGAAGATCTATTTTGGGCATCTATGGACCTTTAGAAGTGTCCAAGTTCCTTGCTTTATGGCTTAAAGTGGTTAGATCTTGAATATTGTCCCATGTCCTTCATGTTTGAGCAAGTTTGGAAGGAAGGAACTCATAAAGTTGGCAACATTATGACTCTCATGAGTCCTATGAGCAACATATATTGTAGATCTAGGTATTGGTTGAGGGTTCTTGATCTTACAAGAGTTTTGGTCATTTTTAGCCCATTTTGACCTAAAATGGATTCGAGACATGTATTGGTATGCATATACATAAAGCTTCCACCATTATGATAGATCTTGTATTAGAAAACCCTTATGGAGTGGTTGGGTTAAGGACTTTTCATATTAAGGGCTTAATGGTTAAGACATTGTGGTATTTGGCTTTATTTGGACCTAGGGTTGGAGATCAAAATCTCTTTGGGTGTCTTAATTGATAAAGTTGGAAATATTCTCCATTTAGACCGTAGAATTAACCATATATGAGCTTTGGAGCTCTTGAAATTGAAAAAAACAGCTTAATCCATTAAGTTGTTAGAATCTTAGCTCTCACGGCGTGGCGACTGGGAATTTTCCGTCTGTGTTGATCGCATGAGGGCCACGACGTGGCCAAGGAAGGTCACGACGTGGTGGTTGACTAAAGTCAACATTGGCCGTTGACTTTTAGTAGGAGTTGACTTTTGGTTAAATTTCTATTTTTGGAAGGTAGACTTAGGGTTTACCTTGTGTGGATTGTTAGGAGGTGTTTAACACCCATCTTTGGCAGAGAGCTATTAGTCGTGGTCGGCGAGAAATTGAGTTGTGTTTTAGTCGGCTTTGTGATTCACGTGAGTTTTCCTCACTATACTTGTGGGTCGAAGGCACCAGTGTCGGCCCACTGGATTATGTATCATGGTATATTGGATTGATGTTATGCTGGTTATATGTTAGATTGGTATATCTATATGATTACCTGTGTTCACTGAGCATGTGTTAGACTGATAAATCTGTATGATTACCTGTACTTGTTGGTTATCGATTGTTATTGTATATGTCGACATGTTATGATTGGTTGGGTTGAGGCGGTCATGTTTTGTACTGAAGGGCAAGATACCCGGGGTGGTCCGGATAGACCGTCGGTCCTACGAGGCGGTCCAGTCAGGTCGAAGGCCCGGAGAAAGGTCCATATAGGTTGTAACACCCATAAAAATCATGCCAAATTTAAAAGTTTTTCAAACACCCGTAAGCCATTAGTTATTACAAAATGTTTTCAAAATAGTTTGATATCAGAGTATCCCAGAAACAAAGTCATAAAAGTGAGGAGCTGTACGATCACGCCTTAGCCTTACCACGATCCCCTGATGTACCTGAAACAATAAACCGAAACTGTAAGCCCGAAAGCTTAGTGAGTTCCCCCAAAATACCCATACCCACAATAATACACATATAATCATAAACAACATACTATGGGTCCAATCAACCATCGGGTTGGAATACCCCAGGCCCTCAACCAACAGGTTGGAATGCCAACACACTATGGGTCCGATCAACCATCAGGTTGGAATACCCCAGGCCCTCAACCAATAGGTTGGAATGCCAACACACTATGGGTCCGATCAACCATCAGGTTGGAATACCCCAGGCCCACAACCAACAGGCTGGAATGCCCACATACTATGAGTCCAATCATCCTCGGGATGGAATACTCACGGCCCACAACCAACAGGTTGGAATGCCCAGGTCTATTGGCTTTCACACAAAGCAGATAAGCCTCAACCGCCAAACAAACATGTGCACATATAACAGATAATCACATAACAGTCTATAGACAACAAACTGATCTACCGGATCATACCACATAACATATAATATTATATCCTACCCTCTAGGATATCTAACTAACATGTCATACCACATATCACATATTATCATCCTACCCTCTAGGATATCGATCTAACAGATCATACTAGCATAACATAACCAATAACAATTCAAAGGGTCGGCCTTGGTTCCTTAGACCCTTGAGTATAGTGAGGATAACTCACCTGACACTGCTGAAGTCCCGCGGATAAAACTCCAGATGCTGGTTGACAGATTCCCGAATTGCCAACATTAAACAATACCCAATTAATAATTGGGTTCCAAGCCCAAGGTCCAACTCACACTCCAAAGGCCCAGTAGTCAAATAATGGGCTAAAGCCCAACATATGGCCCAATTTTCCAAATTAGGCCCAGACCTCTACATGGTCTTTCCTTAAGGCCCATTCGATTATTCCAATCCAATTCTCATGGCCCATTATCACATAATCATAAAGGCCCATCTATGGCCTAATTTTTCATATTGGGCCTAAGTCCTCACATGGGCCTTATCCTAAAGCCCATCTAATTACTTTGGTCCATTAACTTGTTCTTGGATGGCCCACCAATAGTCCAATCGCCAAAGACCAATAAGAAGGCCCAATTCAAGGCCCGAGTAAGATTAGGGCTTTCACATGAAATGATGATTAGGGTTAAGTGTTTCTTACTTAACCCATTAAGGACTTAATCCATTAAGTCCATTATTGCCTTAAGCTAGTTTGTCAATGATTATTAATTATTATTTTAGGTTTAATAATTAATTCTCGTGTGTGTACCAAACGATTCCCACAATTAGGGTTTTCCAAACCCTAATTAGGGTTATCCAACCCAATACTAGCCCATTAGTATATTGGTTGGGCTTTTAGGTCACATTGGGACTTATTGGCCCATTAGGATTTCTTTGGGCCCATTAGGGTTTCATTGGTCCCACATTGTCCAAACATCCCCCAAACGAGGTCCAAACGTAATCAAAGCACACCGCCACCCGACACGGCGGCCGGTGGCGGCAACCACCACTCTACGGTGGTGGTTTGGGTTTTTATCTTCATTATTTCACTTTTGGTTACAATTACAATGCTAAAAAACAAATAACCCACACACACTAACACACCTAAATCCATAGCAAAACACACACACACACAGCCACCTTGTGGTGGCCGGCGGTGGTAGATGGTGGCAGCCACCACCTCACGGTGGTGGTGGTGGCTGTCTCGTGGATTCCGGCCAAACAAACACCCCATCCATGAAATAATACTCATACCACACAAGCTTGAAGCAGCAGCACACACACACTCACTAAAACACGGCACGACCACCTTCTTCGTGGTGGCAAACGACGACCGAGCAGCCAAAGATGGTGACGGCAGTGGACGTCGGTTAGCCCCCAACGAACCCGACACAATAGAACATAAATGGGGAAGGAGAGGCGACACGATTCGTCACCGACAATAGCAACAACAACAGCTCCACGCTTGCTTCTTCCGATCGTCCGCTATCACAGTTTCCATCGGCGGCCTTCGTCTTCAACGGCTGTAGGAGCGGCGACGACGGTTGGGGTTAGGTGGTTCACGCCGGTGTTTACAACTCCAAAACGATCTTCAGCGGTTCCCTCTCGGCCATTCACGACGTTCGGCAGCGAAGTTAGACACGGGATGGTCGTCTGGTGGCTTGGGACTTCGACCGATCGGAAGGATAAGGGGGAGTTGGGGTGGTAACGGCGGTTGGAGGGATGGGGGCATAAGGTGGCGGCTGGGAGGAAATATTAGGGTTAGGGTTACATGGGGTGTAGCATGTATATATATGCAGGCTAAAAGAGGGTGACGGGTTCAACCCGTGTCCACCATCAAACATGTGCATATTAACACAATTGGTCCCTCCTCCCCAATTTCTTTTTATAATAAGGCTAGAATTTACAAATCAGCCCCCATCATCCAAGATCTTTTTAATTTAAGTCCGATATTTACTCTTTAATCCCCACTTCCATAAAATATTTTATATTAAGCCCAAATGATACCAAATAGCCCATGACTTCCAAAATCCTTTGCAAAATAAATCCTGAAATTGTACTTTAACCCCCGGAGATTCAAATATCGTCATTTGGCTTCCCGAAACCAACACCCCGCTAATTATTATTTGATTTTAGCTATAAAATAATAATAAAATTACATCTCGGGGTTCCGGATTTATTATTTAATTATTCTATTTTAAATGGGATGTTACATAGGTTGTAGGCCCGGGGAGGCAGTTCAGTCAGACTGAAGGCTCGGGGAGCGGTCTAGATAGGTTGTAGGCGCTGTGAGGCAGTCTAGTCATGCTGAAGGCTAATGCATGTATGTTGTTATCTGTTTGGTTGTGTGTGGTACTTTGGGGGAACTCACTATGTTTTGGCTTATAGTTTGATTAATATGGTTCCACGTATTTCAAAGATCAGGGGCGAGGCGAATGCTTGATCGTGCACATCCTTCGTAGTTTATGAAATTTGATTTTGGGATACTCTGATTCACGGTTATAACTTTTGGGAACTATGTTTTGTAAACATTTATGGTTTTTGGCTTAGTTTTGAAAATGAAAATTTTACCTAGATTTTTGGGATGCTACAGAGATGGTGGTTGTTTGGATTTGAAATTAGGAGCATTGGATTAATGTTGGGTGGATTTGTTTTATTTAAGGTAATTAGATTTTTTGAAAAGAGAAAAATTCAAAAGATTGAGTTACAGTCGTGAGGAAACATAGGTTCTTGATATAGAACGCCTTTAACTTTTGGGATAAGGACTCAACTCGTACTCGAGAATAATTATTGGCCTTGAACTTTTGTAAGTTTGTATTAGATCCATTAAAATGAAGACGGTAACATACATTAGGTAAATCTATTTTTCCGATGATACAATATTGTTTTTGACCGACTGATATATTTAATGTCATATTTAACTGTTTGTTGCACGCACTTTCAATTCTATTGATGTCATATAAATTCCTTTATTGTACTGCTTTACTGATCCACTTTATTTATTCTCTAATGATTTTTTGCAAATAAAAAAACTATTCCAAAGTTAACAACCAATCTCAAAAGGAGGATCCGTGAAGTCATCGCCGCCACTAAGGATGGCATCAACAACAATCTTGCTTGCAGCCTCCGTAATATGGACTCCATCCCAACTCACATAGTTTTCGGGATCCTCACAAGCTGAGGCAGTGAGATTTTGTCCATCTATGAACTTAGTGTTCCCACAGAACACTCGAGGATTATAATTATACGAACCACCCCCATTTCCACAACAAGCTATCGTGCCATACTTCAGACCTTCATCCATGAACACATTTAAATACATATGTTAATGAAATATAATAATGTAATAAAGAGTTCCATACCATGAGAAGTTGGATGTTGGAAAATCTCTAACAAAGCTTTGTGTGAATCAACATAAATAACATTAGAATTTGGGAGTTCTTGTCTCGTTTGGCTTAACGCATCTTGGAGCATGTTGTTGTATTCGACTACTGCATTGTTGTATGAAATGAAACACCCAAATTCATCAATATCTTTATCACCATGAGGAAGTTGCACCAAGAATGCGGGGTAACATCCTATAGGTGCCAAATTTTGTACAAAAAACGTACGACCTCCTAACCCATGTAATTCCTACATAAAAATCAGTATAAAATCATTGTAAAAGCATCTTTAGCATAGTTTATTATTTTTTTTATTGCTTTTATAAAAAACAATGGTTTCAAATAAGTACTTGCCTTAATTGTGCTTGTAATTTGTGAAAGCACTTGAGGAATTTTTTGTTTAGCCCCATTGATACCACTTTTATCTAAATCAGATGTAAAATCATTCTGACCGATGTAAAATGTATAAAGTGATTTTCCAAAAATATCAGGTAGATGAAGATTTGATGATCCTGAAAATTATACAATGTAACTATAATTAGCTTTAGGTTTTATGTTTTAGTTATAATAAATTTTCTACCTTGGGAATAAAGTTCATCGACTTGGGACTTGAAATATTTCATTTGGTTGAGTTGAATGGGCAATGCAAAAGGGCTGAGCCCGGAGACAAACAAGGATGTTTGTGGTAAGAGTACGGTTGATGCGAGTGTTGCGAAATTAGCACCGTGCTTGTAATCCGATCCAATTGACTTCATGTATGGGCTCACAAATGGAATCCCTATCCTCTCCGCTACAACCAAAATAATTTCTATCGGCTGTTGCTTGCAAATTGACGATGTAAATTCACAAATCGATCATTAAAAACTACATAAAATGTTCACTAACAAATTGCTAATGAAAATAAAAATATTTTAATAAAATATGACGACCTTATACATCCTTAATATTCATCTTTAAATTTAATTCTTTGAAATGTTCACTAACAAATTGCTGATGAAAATATACAAAATGCCAACCAACATTTAAACACAACCTCAATTTTAATAAAATTCAAATCAAACTAAGTTTGCCAAAATAAAAATTAAGACAAAGTTAATATTCATCTTTAAATTTAATTCTTAGAAACAACAAACCAGTCTTTTTAAAAATATATAATAATTTAATTTTCACCCAAAGTAAAAACGATGTGTTGCTTATTTATATTTCAATATATAGTACATAAGGAAGGTTGTCCCAAAAATGGACCATATGGGACTTTGTCTTTTATAATTGTTGCACTTCCCTATGAACTTTTACAAATCACATTCACATGTAATTTGTATTTTGTGGAAATAATAAGGAAATGATTTAACCGGTGATGTTTGATATTTAGATAATTCTAAAGAGTTTAACTATAAGATAGTAGATATTTAAATAAAATAAAAATTCTATTATATGAAAATATGTTTGACCGAAAGAGGAAAATTTCGATCATTTACTAGAAAATGATCGCTTGTGCTTATAAATAAACTTTAATTGTTCAATGGAGAAAAAGTAAATATTTAGCTAAAAATGAAACCAATCAAAAATAATTTTAAATATATTAATATTTAAAATTATTTAAATCTTGTTATTAAAATATAATTAGATCATTATATTAGCACATAATTTACTTTTATCATGTTTAATGTTTAACTCATGGGGTACACGTAAAAAACTTACTTCTAGTAAATTTTAATGTACTTTAAAATCCAACATTATGTTATAAAATTTCAAGTAAATAAACGACTTGGTTACACTATATCAAAACCAATTTATGGTACTTAGACCTCTATTGGATTCTAAATGTCGTATTAGAAAGTTTATTTTTTAAAAATAAATATAAACGGAAAGTATATTTGTCTCTTCTATATGCAATTTGCATCCATTGATTTTACGTTGTTGTATTAGGCACTTTCGGCCTTTGGCATTTAGTCCAAATCCACAACCGTTACAAAATTAATTTTGTTAGATAAATCTTGTGCATGTATATCAAGATAAGTGTTAGCGGTTTTATTTATTTATTTATTTATTAAATAACTAGTTTATAACCCGTGGGAACCACGAGTTATAAAATTAATTAAACTTTCATAATAAAAATTTATAATTATTAATCAATTATTTTAAATAAATCATTTTAAATATATTATTAATTAAGAGATATATCAAATTTTTAAAGTTATTATAACTTTAAATTTAATATATAATTAAAAAATGTAAATTTGAATTTTGAAATGAGTTGTCTAATATATCTACATGACACATTGCATAACAATAATGAGACATTTGACAAAAAAAGATTAAAACTATTCATTTATTAGAATAGATGTTCGGCTATTCATATAAACAACTATAGACATACTACAATTCTTTAAAGAAAGATCCGTAGAAAGCGTGTATATCTCTAAGGGCAGAGTGTCTATTTTCGACCACGATTTAGACATAAAAAATGAAATTAGTTACATGTTATACATAGATGCTATTTATATCCCATTCTAAAATTAGAAAAGTAGCACCGCGTATATTGATGTTATTTACCTAGATATTCAATTTCTTTACGAATTAAAATCAACTTCAATTTTAATTCGAATCCAAAAATAGCAATACAACTAATTCGTCAATAAAAGATGTAAAGACTATCAAAACTTAGAAGCATGATGATGTACCTATAAAGTCAATGATAAGACGACCATCGGAAGCACGGCCAGCTGGACGTTTAAAATATGTCATGCCATTCGGCGGTGGAGCTTCGGGAAACACTGACCAAAAACCACCAGTGTCGGAATTTGAATCCCCAAAGTTGAAGATGCCTTCGTAACCACATTCTGCATCACACATTAATACTACCCATAATGCCACCACCACAACCACCGGAGCCACCTGAAACCACCGTAACATACCCACACTCATCTTTTCACCAGCCTTCAAGTGTGTGTTTGAAAAGGAGAGAGAGAGAGAGAGAGAGAGAGAGAGAGAGAGGAGAGAGAGAGAGAGAGAGTGAGTGTAAGAAAAGGATTTCTTGAAGTGTGTACTACTGTACTATATAGACAAAACATAAAATATCTTGTTTTGTCGGTACTAAAATGTTGTTGAAATTCTATATAATAGTGTAAATATATGTGAAAAAAACATAACGAAATTCATTAATCACGTTCATATAGTACATCCTTGTTAAATACATTTTTACAACATAAATTTGTAGAAAAACTTTCGAAATATATGTTTTACTATTCAGATGATTTATATATATATATATATATATATATATATATATATATATATATATATATATATATATATATACACTATTGATTTGCAAAAGATGTGTGTATGATGAAATAATTTAGCTATGGTTCAAAATATATATGTAATAGAATTGGATATATGTAAAGAAACCCAAACCAAAGATGAGAATGTCATGTAGAAAGAGAATGCATGCATCATTTTAAAATAGTCAAATTTGATGAGGGAGATGTGTTTGAAAAATGTGTGTGTATACGACATTCACCGATCAACTTTACCTGGTTGTGGACTTGTTGATATTGGATTTTTTAATAATGAAATAGGAGTATAGGGCCCCTTGTTGGGTTATATTAGTGAGCTTTGGGTTTCATTAAACTACTACAAGTCGATTATCCACACTCCATAATACGGCCCAATATTTAATTGAACCATCAGTGTAGAGTTACTTGAGGAGTTTGGACTACAAGCAACTCAATTTTTATCAAGTTATTCAAGTTTGTAGTCATATTTGAACTCATGCAAATTAAATTTTGTCTAGATTTAGTTTGAATACAAAAGAACAAGCTTAAAACATACATGGAGTCAAAATGAGAGTTCATAAATATATAATTAGTGTTATATATCAGACAAAATAATAAACATTCAAACAATTATTATCGTAAACTAATATCGAATCTTTAGTAATACTCAAAGTAAACAATCTCAATATTGAAAATTATATATCGATTTGTCACAAATATTAACTCCAATTATTATTAGCTAATTACCAAGTTTCGTTTAAATATCATATCGATCATTCCCGATCAGGTCTAATTATAAGAACGATAAAAGAAGACTGTCTCGTTGTTGGACGAATTAAAAGACAAGACACATAAAGTAAAACCAACTTTAAGATCATTGATTATTGACCGATAAAATTGCATGGAAGAACTTCTGTCATTAAAAGTTTTTACGTCGCTCTAGGGCTATAAGTATCATAATAACACCTTAAGATTTAATACAAATTATCGTTATTTCCAACTGTTATGAAATAACCAATGAGAGCCAGCTAAACAAATTTTCTTAAACTGGTTGGTTATTTTTATAAGATATTAAAAGAAAAGTTTACCACTCTTTTTTTCCAAAAATAATTGATTTAATATTTTATTTGATGATAAAATACAAAAAGAAAAGTAATGTGATTTTTTTTCTTTTCCAATATAGTATATGTCTTCTTGTTGGCCGTAATATCACACTCATCGTCTTTATCACATTTGTTTTGGTTGTCTTCTTCGTATAAGATCTTTTTAAAAGTTGTTGTCCCCGTCCTCGTTGAAATCATCAATAGTAGTACATGCATTGATAAACCTTGTGCTTCTTATTCTAGTATTTTATTTCGACATTTCAATTGTTCCATCACTTTCCTCGAGGGTTATTATGAATTATATGCTTTTAAGGCTACTTCTATGTAATCTTTCAAGTAAATACATATTTTTATTGATTGCAGCGTAATTCTTGTTCTCCCTTCCATTATACCTTGACACTGTAACAAAAACAATCTATTTTGAATCGGTCCATAAAACCGCTTTAAGAACATGCCTTATGGAAAAATCAATAAAACTGTATATACCATTTAGACATACAAAGAATGCGATGGCTCTATCCATGTTGTACGTTGCTATTTTGAGTAAAGGCAATACTTTGTTGTTATACGACGTGTGGTTTTGAGAAACACGAAGTGTACAACCTATATGCGACGCATAGACATCGGTAGTTCCAAAATAGATTTAATGTGAGAAGTCGATAATTGCACCATTCTTACTCACAAACTCGTATGGAATGCTGCTAAGGCGATTTTGAAGTATATCGCAAGAACTTGGAGCTAAAGTGTGACATCCCCATTTTCACGACCAGAAAATACCGATTTCGTTTATGCTTTTAAAATAAAATCAGAGTAATCTTTCAAAAGGTGTTGCGGAATTTATCCCCAAAACAAAATATGATAAAAATTTATCAAAGCATTTCTTAAAGAAATGTATTTTCATTATATTACAAAACCGCGGGATGTCATCTTCCGATACAGACCAAAAGCATAAACAGTACGATATAGGCCTTACAACAGATATTTACATCTACCAGCCTATAATCCAAAATCCCTCGTCATCATCCAACTATGCTCTGGTTCCACTACCTGTAATATAGAAAGCTGAGTGGGTGAGGCTTGGGAGCCTGGTGAGCACATAGGATTTTCAACTCACAATAAATAAATTTATTAACTTCATCAACCAACAATAAATTTATTAATTTCATCAACCAACAATAACCCTGATTACCCGTTCCCGTTATCCTCACTTTACGTCCCTAAATACCTATCATAAGGGACCTAGCCTAAGGAACATCATCGGGATGGACTTTATTGCTAAGGGGATTTCTCAGCCATATATGTCCGTAAGGCAACCATGAGGGGGATGGAGTACGCCAGTGAACACATCGTTCACAAACACCTACAAATTGCGAGTCTGCTAGCGTTCCACTGGACTGTCTAGAAAGGTCTGTGGTCATCATCCCTAAACATCAGATGACTGATCAACGTCAACATCGAGGCCTCTCATCATTTTATCACACATCAACTATTTCATCTACCCATGTTTTACCCAACATATTTGTAGATAAAAATACATATACAGTTTAAATCATTCTAAACATGTATAAAACATTCATTCAACATTCATCTCAAATAAACAAACAATATATATACACATAGCACATATTTTATAGAAAATACTTCATATCTATGTGTAAGATGAAGTGACTACACACTCACTTGATTTAACAATAATTGGACAGCACTTCGTCCCTTAAAACAATCTTTTTCAATGGAACCGGGATGTTTTCTCAAAAACCGGGCTCTGCACGGGCAGAGTTTCGACTCGAAAAACTCTTTTTCTTGGAGACTTCGGGGCTCCGGGCTTTCTTCAGGTGCTAGGATGTTACCCTAGGCTTTGGGGGGTTTAGGATAGGCTAAAAAGAAAGTAGAAGGTGTAAAAGTGTGAAATTTGTAAACATAACTCGGGCAGCCTTACATCCTATTTATAGGAGGCCGAAGCTCCTCATTATGTTGGGCGTAATTCCTGGTACACGGGGCGTACTGCCTTGCAAGGTTCTTCGTTGGGCGTACGCTTTCGTACGCTGGGCGTAGTGTGATACGTGGCTCCGGACGTGTCAAGGGTGTGAGATACGTGTTGCATGCGAGGATAAGGGCGACGTGGACAATCTGAGGCCTAGCTTCCGAGTACGCTGGGCGTACGCCTTCGGACCAACCTCGAAGTTTGTGTCTGAAACTTCAAAAATTTATATCTTTCGCATATGTGCTCCGTTTTTGATGTTCTTTATATCCACGCATAGGTATGAGCGTGCTCTACAACTTTCGTTTAGACTCCGTTGGCTAATTTTGAATTTATTTTTAAAGTTATATTTTTAACAGGCCGGGACAAGAAAAGTCTCTTAAAAATTCATAACTTCTTCATCCGACGTCCGTTTTTGTCTGTCTTTTTACGGATAAACTACAATCGACAAGATCTTCGATTCTCGTTTAGGTTGTGTTGGCTAAAAATTGTTCGATCTATATTTCGAGTTCCGGGCTGCATACTGTCATGCCAAATCTTAGAAAATTCATAACTTCCTCATACGAAGTCAGATTTAGACATTCTTTTTATCCACGCTCTCGGTTTAACGTATACTACGACTTTCATTTAGATCGCTAAGGCTAAAAATCACTTTATTGTAAATTCACTTTTTACGTCACACAACGTCGTGCCGACTCTGTCACGAAACTTCGACAGGTTATAACTTCTTCGTTATAACTCGGATTTCGGCGTTCTTTATATATCCGGAATCCTTGTTACGACCACTACAACTTTCTTCATAGATATCGGGTTTATCTAACATTTTACTTTCGACGCTTATTTTTATCCTTAATTTATTATATCATCATAATTAAATATAAGGCACATAAATTCACATAATTCATTCTTATTACTTCAAAACACGTTACAAAGGTTGACCTAGACTATTACATCATTATTAATGTGTAGCCTAGTAACACGAGCGTTACAATTCTCTCCCCCTTAGGATGATTCCGTCCCCAGAATCATACATCTGCAAACAAATGCGGATAGCGACTAATCATGTCACTCTCCGTTTCCCAGGTGAGATTTGACCCATTCGTATGTTTCCATCGCACAAGCACTAAATCGACCATCTTGCGTCGCAACTTCTTAGTCTTACGGTCAACGATTGCCTCTGGTTCTTCAATTAACCTCTTGCTTTCATCCAACCTTAATTCAGAAATTGGAATTATATCGGGAACTTCTCCCATGAACTTCCTCAAATAACACACGTGGAAAGTGTTATGAATACCATCTAGTTTTTCTGGTAGTTCTAGATTGTAAGCTTGGTTCCCAATCCTCTGAAGAACTTTAAACGGTCCAATAAACCTTGGTCTCAACTTTCCCTTTTTACCAAATCTTATAAGTCCCTTCCACGGCGAGACTTTAAGTAAAACCAAATCTCCAACTTTGAATGTTATCGGTTGTCTTTTCTTATCAGCATAGCTCTTTTGACGATCCTGAGCTGCTAACATCCTTTCCCTAATCACCTTCAGCTTTTCAGCAGTCTGATGGACTATCTCAGGTCCCATAAACTGCTTTTCTCCAGCTTCAAGCCAACATGACGGCGTTCGACACTTTTGTCC